CCCGGGTCCTCGGGCCCCTAAGTGGGCGGGCACTGAAAACCAGCGGTGAGAGAGCCCGGGCGCAGGTGGTGCAGCCGAGCAGTGCAGCCGAGCGGGGGGCCGCGCGCCGGGAGCGAGGGCCGCGAGGTGCGCGCGGCAGCAGGACTCGCCGGGAAGCGGGCAGCTGCGGGGCTCCCTCCCGGCGCGGACGCTCGCGGCCCCTGTCCCTGAAGGAGGTTTCCCCACATCCCTCCCCCGGTCCCCTCTGCCCACGGTTCCCCGGATTCGGCCCACCTCCTCCCCCGGGGCGCCCCCACCTTTCTCCACCTGCACGGCCTTAGTCCGCTTGTTCTTCATCCCGCGGCCCCTGACCCCACCCGGGCCTGGCTGCAGGCGAAGGAGGAAAGACTTGGGAGGGTCGCGGCTCTGGGAGGCCGGCGAGCCGGAGCAGGAAGGGTCCGTGAAGACGCCGCGACCGGAACGAGGGCCTGGGGAGCCGACCGGAGGAGTAGCTGAGTGCACAGCTCTCCCGCGGCCTAGAGCGTCACCGGAAGCGCCCGCGCCGCGGCCGCCTGGGCAGCCAGGTGCACAGTCCTCCCGCAGCCTAGAGCGTCGCCGGAAGTGCCGTGCCCCCGCACTGGGGACCGCGGCGCTTCCGGCGAATGGCGGGACTGCAGGTGAGTGGTGATGGCCTGCTGCGGGCCGTGCGGGAGCGGCAACGTGGGGCCCGGGTCTGGGCGCGGGTACGTGTGCTTATGCGGGGCTCTCGCTTCGAAAGAGCTGCACGTGCGCCGTGGGGAGTGACAGCCTCAGGGGAGTCTCCCCCTGACCAGTGAGGCGGCCTTGGGGACAGTTCCCCCCCTAACCCCGGCGTGACAGCCAGGGAACAGCCTCCCTGAGCGTGGGACGGCCTCGGGCCAGCCTCCCCTGGTCACTGACGGTCGCCAGGGGTCGCTTCGTTCACTTTCACAGGCCCTGTTTTTAGTTGCGATGACGTGGTTTCCAAGGTTCGCTCTTAGACAAGTTGGAGGTGCAGTGTCCGTGCAGGTAGCTCTCTGCCAGCACCATGATCTCAGTGTCGGGTGGCTCCCCGCAGGTGAGACGGTGCCTGGAGGCTGTGGGTCGTCCCGCTGCCCGTGGATCCACCCGTTGCCCGCAGCCTGATCGGCCTCCCCGACCTCCTTGCCCGGAAGGTGTTACCATCGTGAAGAGTAAAAACTGATCTTCTGCATTATCTTTAATTGCAAATGAGGCGGGACAAATGAGGAACTTATATTAAAAAATACACTGGCCACCTGTCAGCGTTCTTTTGTGGGTTACTTGGTGACCTTTACCAGTTTGTCATGTTTTGTCGTTAACGTGTGGTGGTCTTTATGTTTTAAGGATATGGATTCATGTTATAAACGTACCACCAAGCCCCCCAGGGTTTTTTTTTTTTTTTCCATTTCTTTCTTTTTTACACTAAATTTCCTTGTGTAGTTAAATCTGCTAGACTTTACCTTTGGTGTTAAGCATAGCAAAATCATTCCTCAATCCAAAACTGCATCACTCAAATAATTTTTTATTTTTTTGGTTTCATACTTTTATAATCAGATCTTCATAATTATCAAGAAAAATGTTATGTCCCTAGATGTGTCTCCAGACATTTGAGGCCTGACCAGTGATGCTAGACTTGCTCATCACAGAGCAAGCGCACGACAGGCTTCTAGCAGGTGCTACCACACCCAGCTCTGTCCTCAGCCTGCCAGGGGGTGGGGGCAGGACTCAGGGGAGCGAGCATGGTCCAGACAACATTCCCAGGGGTACCCTCTGGAACACTAGTTACTGGTTTGTCTGTTCAGTCATGACTTTGATTTCTAGCGGCAGACACAGGCCCGTGGAGTCCCCAGGAGTGGCTCTGAGCTCACCCCCACCTTCCCTGTCACTTTCTCCCCTTCTTTTCTTTCTTACTCAAGCAGGTGTCCCCACTCCTGGTGCTTCTGCAAGGCACAGCAAGGAGAGCCCCCAGGCCTGGGTCTCCAGAACACCATGGAGAGGGCTACCCTGATGGACACACACACAGGTGAGGGGTGGACAGCCAGTGGGGTGAGGGAGGAGGGGACAGCTTAGGAATCAGGGCTCCCAGAGCCCACCTGCCTGGCTGCTAGGGGATGTAGCTGGACTCGGGCAGCACTGCCCCGTCCCCTTCTTTGCCTAACACGCCTCCCACCCCTACTGCCTGCTGTCCTCACCACTCCCTGTTCCATCCCTTTGCTCTCATGGCCAAACTCTGCACCCCTGTCTCTTTCTCGCCTCCCTCCCCCCCTTACCCCCCCCCCCCGGCCCCAGCCTGGAGACTTCTCAGGACCCCGGCTAGCCTGGGCTTAGACTAGGTGACCCGGAAGAGTATGAGGAGTGGAAGTCTGGCTAGCCTTCCACCCACTGCCCTCCCAGGCTCTGGGCCCCCCTCTATTCTGAAGATTTAAGGCCATGCTTGCAGGCTGTTGAAGCTGAGGACTCCTATCCAGCTTACTGTTGTCGCTGTTACTTCCATGTGAGACAAGCAGTGCTCAGGACAACGCCGCCTTCCCCTCACAGGGACGCTTGCCCTGCCTCAGGCTCTTCCACCACCCTACTCTGATGCGGCATGTTCGGCAGCGGGAGCCTGGGTGGAGTATGGCCAGGCTGCCAGGACATACTGCATGCCCTCCACACCTGCACCTGTTCTCCCTTGGAGTCAGAGAGCCCCTGTGTCAGGTGATTCAGCTACCCTGAGTCCACAAACAAACACTCATCCCTTCTTTGGGCCCTTCCGTGAAGCTGCCCTTCAAGTCCCGGATGTGCCTCTCCCTCCCTCCACTGACCTTAATCCTGGCAGATCTGGTCCAGACGGGGTTCTTCACAGTCCCACAGTTTTGGACTAAGTAATAATTTTAGCAAACGTCAACATACACAGAATGGTAGAAGAGAAACAGGGCACAACAAAACACACATTTTAAAGGGAATAAAGAGCACCGTCTCTTGGTTGCTGGTCCCGAGCACGTGTCAGGGGATCTGTGGCCTGAAAGCAGGATACAGGTGAGCGTGAGACCAGTGGCGGGCCTGATGGGGCCCACATACGTCGTTGGGAGACCAGCATCTTTGCCAGGGGGCGGAATTTCTTGGTTAGAAGCCAAGTTCTCACCTTTTAGGAAGACTTCCCTCCATCAGGGTTTCTCAGCCCTAGCACTGGACATTCTGGGATGGAAGACTCCTCGTTGTAAGGGTGTCCTAGGCATTCTAGAATATTTAGCATCCCCGGCCTCCACCCACAAGACGCCAGTACCACCCCTCCCAGTTGAGACAACCAAAGCTGTTTTCCCACATAGCCAAATGTGCCGTGCGGGCAAAACTGCCCCAGTCGAGAACAAGGGCTCCATGTTTAGGGCTCCTCAGGGAGCCCTGGGCAGTTATCACTGAGAGGACCCCCCCCACACACACACAGTGCTGTTTGCTGGTGCCTGGGATGGCCTCAGGAGGCAAGCAGTTCACAGGACCTGAAGCCTGACCCGCTGGAACTGGAAAGGGTGTATGTGCCCCCCCATTTTAATTCTGAAAACTCTTGCTTCAAAACCAGTGCCTATGAGTTGCTTGAACTTCTACGTCTACCAAACCACAAGACCAGACTGGGCCTCTGCAGAGGGCCTCCTGTTTCTTAGCCCTGTGCCTGGGGCCTCTCCCCATCTCCAGTTGCTCAATTGGACAGCACCCTTGTTAGGGAATCGATGGACAGTGTCTGTGGGTGCCTGCCTGCTCTCTCCTGCCCCGGGGAATACTGGCCTTGCCCCCGTCCCCCCCCCGCCCCCCCCGTGCAGGGGCCTTTATCACCTGGGCTGGCTCAGTTCTTGAGAGGTGCTCCAGTACCGCAGGCTCGGCCCCTCGGAAAGCTACTCTTGAGGTTGAACATGGCAAGAACTGCCTGGCATTCTGTTTTGTGACCACATCCCTAAAGCCATTTGCCTAAACGGGTGTGTGGTCTGTGCCCGGGGCCACCGGCAGTCTCACCACCGAGCAGCCAGGACTGGGAGGCCCTTCAGCCCAGCCGGCTGGCTCCAGTCACTTGCTGTTGCTTGCTCTTGGCACTGATTTCTGTCTGAGGAAGGATTCTTTTACTTGCCTGGACCAGAGGCCCTTTGGGTTTGGTGGGTTGTGGTGAGGTGTCAAGGACAGAGTTGTCCTGGGGAGTCCAGGGTTGGAGAAGTGAGCTGGGACCGCGGCATGTGCCCGTGGGGTGCTCTTACCCTGTGCCTCCCAGTACCTCTGCTTTGGTGTTCCTCTGGCTCTGGTTTGCTGCCCGTGTTCTTTGCCTTCCAGGCCACACGGGGGCACCCAGAGCCCGGGCTTCTGTCTCCCGCTCTCCTGAGCCTGAGGGTAGAGGCTCAGGCTACCCCGGAGTCCCAGCAGAAGGACCAGAGGCGCCGGGTGCCGGGGAGAGCTGGGCAGGAGCGGCACAGGTGTCTGCTGCAGGCTGTTACTGTCAGCGCTGCCGTGACCCCGCCGGCCACCACCCTGTCCACTCTCATGCGGCTGTGTACCATCCAAGCTTCCTTAGGCCTCCAGTCACACGTCTCTGACCCTCTTTTCCAGCCCCCCTGGCACAGGCATCAGGCGGCAGCCAGGCTTCTGGCTGTGCTGCTTCAGTGGCAGAGCAAGGGGCTCAGAGCACGAAGCCAACGCCAAAGCAGGAGGCTTTGGAAGAAGAAGGGGCATGCCATGGAGAGAGAGTGCTGGGCCCGTTACAGGGGCCTCCCTGGGCACTGGGGCTTCCAGACGGCTGTGGGAATGAGGAGGCTGGAGACAGGCCCAGAGATTCCCCTAGGGTACCAGTTTTTTCTGAGAAACCTGGAGGGCAGAATGGCCTAGAGAGCAGTGGGTCCCGGTCAGACACCACCCTGAACACTCGCTCTGCCGAGGGTGGGAGAGGCCCCCGCAAAGGGCGGCCTTATCAGTGTGACACCTGCGACCGGAGCTTTAAATGCTATTCGGACGTGGCAAAGCATCAGAGCATTCACTCTGGGGAGAAGCCATACGCGTGCAGTGACTGCGGGAAGGCCTTCATCCACAGCTCGCACGTGGTCCGGCACCAGCGCACCCACCACGGGGAGAAGCCCTACATGTGCAAGGAGTGCGGGAGAGCCTTCAGCCAGAGCTTCAACCTTGTCAGGCACCAGCGAATTCACACGGGAGAGAAGCCGTACGGATGTGCTGAGTGTGGCAAGTCCTTCGGTCAGCGGTCAGATGCCACCAAGCACCAGAGGACACACACGGGCGAGAGGCCATATGCGTGCAGCGAGTGCGGGAAGGCCTTCCTCCACAGCTCCAATGTGGCCCGGCACCAGCGCACCCACCACGGGGAGAGCCCCTACGAATGTCAAGAGTGCGGCCAGGCCTTCAGCCAGAGCTCCAACCTCCTCCAGCACCGGCGAGTGCACACGGGCGAGAAGCCCTACGCCTGCCCCGAGTGTGGCCGCGCCTTCAGCCGCAGCTCCTTCCTCAGCGAACACCGGCGCATCCACACCGGGGAGAAGCCCTACGCATGCGGGGAGTGTGGCCGTGCCTTCAGGGCCCTGTCGGGCTTCTTCCGACACCGGCGGGTCCACACCGGGGAGAAGCCTTTCCGCTGCACCGAGTGCGGCCGCACCTTCCGCCTGAGCTCGCACCTGATCCAGCACCAGCGCATCCATGGCACAGACTGAGCCCCCCGTGGGTGAACGGGCCAGGGCACGGTGGGTACAGCACCCGTGAAACTGGCTGCGCCTGGAGGGCTGTGTACTTCATCCCACCTGCATGAGGAGGATGAGGGAGCAGCCTGGTGCTTTAAGTTCTTGCCATGGGGAAGCCCCCAGTGCCTCCGCGGCCCCCCTGCCCAGAAGTCAGAAGAGAAGGATGAGTCCGAGGGAAGGCTGCTTTATAGTGGGGAATGCAGCCTTCCCCAAAGGAGGGAGATCTGAGGAGGACGTGTATCCACTGAAACTAATTTCATATTCCTAACACTTTGTTGATGTATAATTTAGGTATGGTGAAGTGCATGATCGTAAGGGCTGGGTTTTATGAGATTTGACAAATATAACCTGTTTTGACCTTTAGAACCACCAAGGTATCAAGATAATAGACTATCTCCATCACCCCCTTAGCCTCAGAGGCAACCAGTGATCTCGTTTCTGTCACTATAGTTTTGCTTGTTCTAGAACTTTATGTAAATAGAATGACTTAACATATACTTTTTATGTCTGACTTCTTTCCCTCTGCTTAATGTTTTTGAGATTTATCAATATTTCTTTGTTTCGCTTTTTATTGTTGTTGTTTTCTTAGTTCCATAGCACTTTTTTTTTAAGATTTTACTTATTTATTTGACAGAGAGACACAGCGAGAGAGGGAACACAAACAGGGAGTGGGAGAGGGAGAAGCAGGCTTCCCGCTGAGCAGGGAGCCCGATGTGGGGCTCGATCCCAGGACCCTGGGATCATGACCTGAGCCAAAGGCAGATGCATAATGACTGAGCCACCCAGGCGCCCCTCCATAGCACTTTTTAAAAGGAAAGAGTCACTTTCTATTTTGTATCAAAGCTCTGTGTTTATATCTGTGTCTCCATCCAAGTAGGAGCTCCTGTAGCCAGAATTGTTTTACCACAGCCCTCGATACAGAGTATGCCAAAGCAGAATATACTCCACCAAAGAGTGTCCGTGAAATATGTAGGGGAGTGTGTGAAAGATGGTTTACAGAGGAGACCACAGGCTCAGCCAGAGGAGAGAATACAGATCTGTGTTTTCACACCCATTTCAGAGTATGCAGCTTGCAGAACTCTGCTCAGCCTCATAAAGGCAGTACAAGAAAAGGAAGTATAAGATCTTGTACTTTCTTTTTTTTTATTTAAATTTTACTTAGTTAACATACAGTGCAGTATTGGTTTTTGGGGTAGAATTCAGTGACTCAAGATATTTGTACTCTTGGGACACCTGGGTGGCTCAGTTGGTTGAGCATCTGACTTTTAACTGGGCTCAGGTATGATCTCAGGGTCATGAGATTGGGCCCCGTGTTGAGCTCTGTGCTTAGCACAGAGTCTGCTTGGGATTCTCTCCCTCTCCCTCTCCCTCTGCCCCACCCTGCTAGGGTGCTCTCTCTTTTAAAGAAGGAAAGAAGAAAGGTATTTGTACTTTCTACAAATGTTTCCTAAGCACTTACTTGTCCAGGCTCTCTGCCACTGTTCTGGGAGAGACAAAACCAGCATGACATGAGCACTCAGAGACTTTACAGGTTAGAGAGTGAGACAAGCAAGGAAAGCCATCTGTGTAGTGCCCAATAAAAAGCCAAGTAACAGAAGTACCTCCAGGGAACTAAGAGCACAGGAGAGAGGCACACACAGATGATCAGGGCAAGGGAAAAATTGGGAAGAGATCCCAGGAGTGGTGATTCCTAAGCCGGTTCTTCAAAAGATTTAATCAACAGAGGGGCTAAATGTTGTGTACAAAGCAGAGGTCAGGGTGCACTAGGGGGTGTGAAAGGGTATGAGAAATGTGTTCACTCATGGAACCTTGGAATCTGCAGTCAGAGAAGGCAGAAAGTAAAATTTAAGTGAATTCACTATTCATAACTTAACATTTTACATCACATCATGACAGTGTCATGGATATGGATATGTTTTATTTGCCAGGTAGGAGTGGCGAAGTATCTTTGTTGCACATCCTAGAACTCTGCCATAATGAATTGAGTGAGGTCATCTTGTTGAAAGTTTACTGTAATGACTAAGATAAATCTGAGCAGTCACCTGGCCATGAGTCCTAGGGTCCAGCTTCATGATCCAGATCTGTGCTGGTCAGGCTGTGGTTTGATGCCATTTCATGGTTATCATCTGCTCTAGCTTAACTACTGATTGTGGGTTATTTTGGGTCCTATAACTTGCTGGGACCTCCAAAACAGCAGTACAAGTCTAGGGCTCTTGTGGGCACCTGTTTCTTTTCTGATGTGAGTTTAGGCCAAGGGTTGTGCAGCCTGTAGGGGCAGAGTTGCCCTCAAAGTGCACTCAGTGGTACCACAGCTCTTGGGCCAGTGGTGAGGTGGAAAACTGAGCCCAGGATTCCCAAGCTGAGCCCAAACCCTCAGATAGGCTGAAGGGTCCCAGGTTCGTGGTCCCTCTCAGATACCAGGAGAAGCCAAAGCAATCAGTCTTTGGAGGAAATCTTCCCCTACTTAGACCTGTAGTATTCCTGTTTATAAGGTCAAGCAATGAGCTGAGATCACCAACCATATAGGAAGGTCTCACTGAATGAGGGTCAACAAAAACAGCAAACAGTAGACATAAACCTCAAAGAACTGCAGATAATGAAATCGCCAGATAATGCAGGCAAGGGAATAGTTATGTATGAAGTATGTACAGAAATAAGGCAAATCACAGCAATGAGAAAGCAATAAAGGACTATCAGGCATGGACAGGCAGGGTTTTTAAAGAACTTTTAGAAATGAAAAATATAATTGTTGAAATAGAACTCAGTGGGTAGGTTAAATAGCAGATTAGACACTGCTGAAGAGAGCATTAATGTAGTGGAAGATACATCCAAGGAAATCAGATACCACCCAGACAAGGAGATGAAATGTGAAAGGATTTGTAAAGCAGAATAAGACGGTCTAGCATGGGCCTGATGGGAGCCCCAGGAGAAGAAAGGGTGAAGGAGAGGACACCCAGTGAGGCCCCACGATGACACACCCCATGATTATGCAAATTCCAATTTTATCAGCAGCTGGCTGCCACAGCCCACCCAATCCCTACTCTCCAGCCAGGCCCAAGCTCTCATCTTGTGCAGGGTTGAGAATGGAGGTGAAGGTGAGGTCAGTCAGGGAGAGAGCAGACAACCCCACCTGGGGAAGATGAGTATTTGCATCCCCAGTTTTAACTGGCCCAGTCTCCCCTTAATCAGGCTAACAAAATAATCAATGAAAGGAGAGGACACTGAATTCATTACCAATACACTGGAAGTTCCAGCCATCCTCAAGACCCAGAACCATCGCCTTCAACACATAAGCCACAAAGGACAACTGTAAAGTCGTGCCCATTGACAGCTGAGACACCTGGAGGGGCCTGGCATCCGTGCAGGCTCCTTTCATTCTTCACAAGGACGAGATTCTGCACTTTACGGGACTGAATTTTTTTGGACCCCCCATTTATAGTGTTCCTACAAGCTTTTCTTTATTTAATGAAAAGCATAAATCCACACATCTGGGAAGCATAATGTATATGAAGCAGCATAAATAAAGAGAAATCCACACCTAGATACAACACAGTGAAAGCACAGACCAGCAAGAGAGATCTTCACATCGTCCGAGAGAAAGGCTCGATCACCCACAAAGTAGCCACTGTCACACCATCGGCGGACTTCTCAAAGCAACACAGAGGTGGCAGCTGGCTTAGCCTCTTCGACGTGCTGGGAGGAAACACCTGTCACCCGAGAATTGCATGCCCAGCAAAATTATTTTTCATAAAGAAGGTGAAAAAAGACTTTTAATATAAGATCATTTATCACTAAGGAACTTTCACTGAAACAACCTCTGAAGTTTATATTGCAAAGAGAAGGAAAATGATTGCAGAATGATGGCCTTAGATATGACACAGAGTGGTGAGCAAACAAAATGACCAATATGAATGAGGTCCAAACACTGTCTGTATAAAAGAATAATGTCGACTGAAGTATCAGACAATAGCATGTCCGCTAGAAGGGGGTGTAAATGTTCTAAGATCCTCCTACAGGTGGGAAGGGGCATAAGACCTTAATTTTAGACATTGATAAATATGTGTAGTATAATTTAATGTTGATTAGTAAATATAAGCTGTATACATTTCCAGTCCGATAGAAAAATGCAATCATTTAAAGTTTAAACAACTACTATCAGTCAAAAGCATGAGTTGGTAAAGAGAAAGATAAGAAAAGGACTGGGCAAATCATCACAGAGCGAGATGGCAGAATGTCCATGAGCACAATACGTCTAACTAGAGGAAACTTCCAGTTAAAAAATTCAGGTGGGTAAGAAGAGTCTGTTACTCAGAACCACAATGTGAATGAAGACAGGAGTAGGTGGAGGCGTGAGCCCACCAAGGGAGTGGAGTCACATGTAGGCAGCCGTAGAGAAGAGAAGCCAGTGTGCACTGAGACACGGGCGGCCGCTAACGAGCCCCCGGGAGTCTTGGGTCCGTCCCAGGAGCTAGCGAGCCATCCCCGAGACATGACAAGGAACTGACGTGCACTACAAACCCTCAAAAGCCAGTGTGCTCAAGGGCTCGAGCGCCAGTGAGCCTCGCCTGTGCCCACGGGCCTTTGTCACCCCTACGTGGTGGGAAGCTGGTCATCTATGATGACTGATGTGCAAGCGAGAAATCAAACCAAAGGAAAAAGAGATGGTGCAGGAAATGCAGAAACGGTGAACAAAATGATGACTAGTGACCCGAGATCGAAAAGGAACTGTGTCCATTAAGAAAGAACAAATAGTATTTTAAAAGGAAAAATTCAAAACAAACCCTAGAAGTTAAATGGGATAGCCACAATTAAAAACAAATTAGCAAGTTGGCTGAGAGGTGAAGTGAGGAAATCTTTTTTTAAAAGAGGAAAAGGCGAAGAGGCAGGTGAGGTGGGAGACAGATTAGGACCAGCAGGCATTCTGGGAAAAACCAGAACGTGGTGGGAGTGGGACGGCCAGAGACCCCATCTGA